TTTATATCTCTTGGAGATATATCTTTTATATAGTTATAAATGCACCATGGGGGCTTGGGGTGAAACAGAATTTCGGTACACTGTATACTGTGTATACTGCTGTATTGACAACATGAATCTTGAAATATATTGATAACAATTAACTAAAACTAAAAACTTAATCACTGCATAAGACCCGTTGTCACTGATTTTCAGTCCAGAACTTGTGTAGTTTGTCACACCTCAGTCTGTTTCCCTTCTATAAGAATGGCTTCTTGACAGCCAACCTTCAACTAAGACCCTTTCTGAGGCATCAGTGAAAAGTAGATGGATCAACTGATAGCTCAGATGCTATGCAATGTGTCAAATCTTTGCTAAATGTTTTCCAATTTCTGGAAAAATTGGAAAACAATGACTTTTAGTCATGTCCTCAAGAAATTGAGGACTTTTAGTCATGTCCTCATCTGCTGTAGATAGTTTTGTTTTAGTTTAGTTTAGTTTTGTTTTAGGCATGTCACGCCTTCTTTTTGTCCAGCTTCCTCAAATGTTTTAAGGACATATTGCACAGTATTCATTATGCTGTGAATGCATAAGACATATGGTTTTCAGCTAGTCGCTCTTTGGAAATCACTTTCTGGGTAACGACATAATTACTACTTTATTTTTATCAAACTGTGTTTTCTTTGGCATTTTTCATAGATTCACCAAAATAAATGGGAACAAATTACATGTTTTAGAAACAGCCCGCTAGTAACAAAGTGCCAAAATATACAATTTAAAATGGTTTTCGTCTGTATTGTCTATTACGTATAGACACAGCATTGGTAGGTGCCTTTTGTTAACCTTAATGATTCATAGATCACTGTTAAGCAGCTTACCTGGCATTAAACACTGATTTGAAAATGGTCAGATACAAAGACTGCTCTGAAAATGATTGACAAAGCAGCCAATGTCCAAAGAAAAACTTTGGAGGGCTGTAACAAAGCCAGGTGAACTATTGCTCAAGACCACTTAAAAAAAAAAAAAGCCGAACTCCTAAAAACAAAAGAAAAAAAAAAGAAAGGGGGGTCAAAAAAAAGTAAAATCCTCCAATTTTGGGTTTCCGCAACCTCAACCGTTGGAAAAATTCCCAAAAAAATAAAAAAACACTTTAAAAAAAATTTTAAAAAACCCAAAAAAAAAAACTTTACAAAAAGACATGAGTCTTACCTTCTTTTTAACAAAGCTAGGCTCATCATTTGTGTCAAAAAGTTTCCTCTTTTTCCTAAGAGGATTGTCCTCCAATCTCGGCCGGGGCATACCATCTAGAGAAAGCAAGGGGGGGCGTTTTTTAGGAGGCTCCTCGTCATTTTTCTTTGCGATTACATCCCGTTCCACCTTCCTCTTCACAGCAGAAGTGGTAGTCAAGGCAGCAATAGGTGTTGGCGCCACCATGGGTAGGTCTGGCTCTTCCTTTGAATCTCGGTTTAACCTCGGTTCTTTGAGCAGCGAGCCAGGAAGGTTGGATGCATACTTAAACCCTGGGCCTCTTTTTTGCTTTGAGGCCAAAAGGTTAGGAAAAAAGAGAGCACAACTTTATTTTTCTGGTTCTTAGATTCTTAACTAAAACTCGGCTGTTTAACAAATGCATCACACACACACACACTCACAATAAAGTCCATACTGATGCTTACTTTTCCAGTTTTCCCAGCATGGTTACATTTTGGACACTCCCAGCAGTTTGGCAGCTCATCATTGACTACTCCATTTGAATCTTTAATCTGAATAACAAGAAACACACTGGCTATTAAACAGTGTTTGACATGAAACAAGCAATTATTCAACAGCTGACTGACACTCAGGGCTTCACCTTGAGACAGTTAGGGTGAACGATCTCGTTACAGATGGAACACTCCATGAGCATAAGGTTAAACTTCTCTTCCTCATCCTCCACGGTGTCCTCCTTGCCTGCCTCGCCACAGACAAGACACACTGCTGTGTGGGGTAGGACGGGCTGGAGGAGGGAGAAAAGAAAACGACAGTGCAGAAGATAAAGGCTCTGCATCAGCTCACTCTTGTCTTTTTAAGCAATTCTTTGTCACAACAAAATTTAACCCACACTTTTTCAGAAGGGTGAAACAAAGCAGAGCTGGAACTATTTGCTGCCATGGCTTTCAACAGCCTACTCCTCATATGACTCAACTAAGGACCCAGAATATTTTAAATCCAATCTGAGTGATGGAAAAATGTAAATGGACTGGCATTTATATAGCTCTTTTCTCGTCTTATCGACCACTCAAAGCACTTTACACTACAAGCAACAGTCGCCCATTTACACACACGTACAGACAGATCGTTTTATTCTATACATACAATACTTTCTCCATCAGAGACACACACAAATCACTCACTGGAGGCAATCTGGAGTTCAGTTTCCAAAGATCACATGGACCAAACGCACAACATCAAGCCATTTGCTTCAGCTGCCAGCTTGCTCTATCTCTTCTGAGCCACAGCAACCTCAAAGTAATAATAATGTAATATTGATGGAAGATTGACTTCACTAATTGTTAAGACAGTAGCTGGTTTATAGAGTTGTATAAGCTACCCTTAATTGTGATCTAAAAGCCTGACAGCTCAAGTTTGCCACCATAGCTTTAAAAAAATGACCTGATTTATTCATTCATTTATATTCCATATGAATCCAGAGTGTTATAGCCCTAACAGCTAGTTCATCATTTACCGTGAGCTTCCAAACAGATTTACAACAACATTAGCCAACTAATAAATGGGCTAAAGCAACAGAGTCGCTCTTGATGAACTGTGTGTAATCGCTGGCTCTGATGACTGCTCTCTATCTGTGTTAGAGTAAGTTAATATGAAGGGCGAGTTAAGCATGTTTTGCATTATTTAAACACAAGTCATGGTGGCTAAAAAGCCCAAGACCCGAGTGTTCTCTCGCTATCTTTTAACTAGCATGATTAAACATTAAAACACAGTCCTTCTCATCATATAAAAGGCACAAATAATCAAACTCAGCCTCTCTACAAGTCTCTGTCCTTGGTACTGAAACATTTAGACCAGGCCATTATCACTTTCTCCGTGCGTCTATATAAATGCTACTGTAACAGGTAATATCTGATACTGCTACTTGCATTCTTTTTATTACACAGCTACAACAAACAGCAACTAAAAAAAACATTCAGGCAACTACTCCAGAACCAAATATAATAAATTATAATTATAATTAAATAATAATATAATTATTATTTTCTTATAATAATTATAAGAAAGCCACGCTTACGTTTCTCAGTTTCTCAGTCATTGAGGTCATGAGCATTTGTGTCAAAGACAACTGGACTTCTTTCTATAGATTCATGAGGATATTTCACCTCTTCATCAAGTGGTATCTAATCCTGGGATTTTTATGTTTAAGGTCACATAAATGTGTGAATGACAGCTGAAGCACCTGGAAAAGGATCTCAAGAATTGTCTTAAATGTGGTACCAACATCTGAAACGCTTCAATCAGTTCTGAGAGCTCACCTCACTCGAGAGGCTTCGTGAAACACCTTCACAAACCAAAAGGAACTGCAGTTTCCTTCAATGCTTAAGACTACCATGACCTGGATGACTGAGAATCTACACAGAAAATATTGCCTAGGGAGGGAGGAACACCCTTCAATTGGTGCAGGAATATGAAACAGTATCAAGGAAGTTGACTAAAGGAACCACCTCTGCTTTAACCTAATGTGCAGACGCCTTGGGTCCACAGTCGAGGGACATAAAGCTAAGCAGAACCAGCTGCTGAGTGAAAGGATAACACTGGTCTATGTCACTACAGATGCACTCAAGGACAATAAAGTGATACTCTGAGACTTTTAGTTTAGCTAACAATAGATACAACAAACAGCTATCCTAGCTCTGTAAGTACTTTAAAGCTCACTGAGGCAGTAGAAGTTGTTTGTTTAATCTGTAGAGAAACCAAGCTGTCGTTTGATCAGAGGTTAAATACTTGAATTGTTTCTTGTCAAGAAGCTTTGACTTCTTCACTGATAGTGACACCAATATGCAAGAGACTTACATTTCAATAACTTCATCATCAAACAAAGAAGATACAGTAAGTTTTAGATAGCTTATGTAGGCGTTTCCATCCATTTTCAGTATTCATCCAAAGCTAAGTGAATCACCCACTGGGTGTACCGTCTTATTTCACCAAAGGCTTTGAATTTGCTACCAATCAGGGACTTCAGGAAGTTAAAACAGTGAGTACCGTTTATATAAAACAGAAATGGAAATGTGAAACTAACAATTTTGAATATAAGTATATGAAACTCAGCCTCGTGGAGAGTCCTAGTAGATATGTCAGCACAGCTGTGCAGACGCCTGCTCAGGCTCTTCAAGGTGCTGGAGGCATGTGGCTCCCAGGAGGCCAATCATTATCACTTGTTGTCAAGCTTCGAGCAGCATCAGTGACAATATCTGACGAGAATTACTTTCAATTGGAAAGAGCTGCTTGTTGGATTCCTATATTTGAAGCAGTGAATACAGCTGCTCTACTGGTATGAGTTTGGTGAACTTTTGTGATGGAAAGGAATCAGCTCTCCCAATTTTATTTTATTTTTTTTACATTAATGTGTGTTATTTATGATGCTTGTTCCCCTGTAGCCAACAAGCATACCACGATTTGTTTGTGCGTTCTGCAATGAGCACAAGAACCAATGTTCATTCGTTAACCAATACTTTTCCTCAAAGATTCGTTTTTTCCTGATGAAATTAAGATAATAACGGAATAAAAACAACAACAAATCAAAACAAGTTGAAAGTACTCAGGACAGATGAGACCCAATCAGAAATAATTAAGCTGTGATGAAAGGCGGGACAAGTCGGAAGTGATCCAATCAGAAGTAATCTCCTTGTAATTGTGTAAGGAAGGATTCAGCTAGCATCCATGCTTCCTGTTTCTAATGAAAACGCGACAACATGTCAACGCTTCGGAACAAGAAAAGAGAAGATATGTGGAAGCGCTTCACATTTGATCTCAAAGATGAGATGCTTTGTAAACCGTGCTGAGCGAACCCTCACAGCCCAACATTTACACTTTATATTTTAATCAACTGAATCAGCTTCAGATTTAGCCTACTATAATGATATTTAGTCTAATAAAACTATAAGAATTTAGATGCCTAACTTATGACTAAAACTAAATGACCTTTTAGTCAACAGACTACAACTACATCGAAATTGCTGTCAAAATTAATGCCCGAATTATACTTCTGCAGGAAATCTACCCTCTTTTAACCCTGCGGCATAACCTTCCACGTATCCTGACATCTATCTCCCGAGAAATTTGTCAGGTCACAGCGTAGGGCTAAGATAGGCCATAAGTAAATTTCCTGCAGAAGTCTAAATCAGGCACACTTATGAGTACATCCATCCTCTTCTGCTTATCTTTTTCAGGATCACAGGGGGCTTGGAGCCAATCCCAGCTACCATACGGCAAGGTACAGCCTGGACAGGTCACCAATCCAACACAGGGCTAAAACAGTAAGAGAGGCAACCATTCACACTCACATTCACACCTATGGGCAATTTAGAATCACCATTTAACCTAACCCCACTAACTGCATGTCTTTGTACTAGAGGAGGAAGCCAGAGTACCCGGAGAAAACATGCAAACAGAAAGGCCCCGGCCAGATGGTGGAGTCGAACTGAGGACCTTCTTGCTGCGACCCAACACTGCTAACCACCGTGCTGCCCACACTGATGACTACACCACACAAAAGTTCACTCACACACATCATACTTACAGCAATGCACTGCCTCATGATGCAGGACTGCTTCATGCGTCCCGGCCCGCCGAACTTCTTCATGTCTTTGCAGAAGTGACACTCTCCGCACTCCGTCCGCAGACACGCCTCGCATTTCCGACAGCGTGTCCGTCTCCTCCTGGCTCCAGATGTACCCCGGCTGGCCGACAGCTTGACCGCTGATGCGGGAGATGCTGCCATCTTAGGTTTCGGCCGGTTGGGAGGCCGGGGCTAAGAAAAAAGAAAAAGAAAAAGGAAAAAAGAAATGGTAAATGGCCTGTATTTGTATAGCGCTTTACTTAGTCCCTAAGGACCCCAAAGCGCTTTACACTACATTCAGTCATCCACCCATTCACACACACATTCACACACTGGTGATGGCAAGCTACATTGTAGCCACAGCTGCCCTGGGACGCACTGACAGAGGCGAGGCTGCCGGACACAGGCGCCACCGGGCCCTCTGACCACCACCAGTAGGCAACGGGCGAAGTGTCTTGCCCAAGGACACAACGACCGAGACTGTCGGAGCCGGAGCTCAAACCGGCAACCTTCCAATTACAAGACAAACTCCCAACTCTTGAGCCACGATCGCCCCAAGAAAGACAAAACAGAGAGGAGGAGAACGTGCAGTGCATCAGTAACGATAAGCCAACAAGTATGCACTTAAAGGTCAGATAGAGTCGTGTGTTGGCAAAGAGTGAATGTTCAAAATATTCACCAAGTACATGTTAAGCTAGCAGCGGGATGCAGCGCAGCGGGCAGATACGGAAAGTTAAATTATATAACAATTAGGATGTCATTGGCAAAGTACTCGCATCATTAGCTTTCACTACCTTTGGTTTGCATTGTTAATAACAAACTGCTGTACATGTTTATCATCATTTTGATGACTGATTATCTACATTCTAATAATGAAGCTCTGCAGTCGAGCGGCCCTTTTAGAGCACACTTACAATCATGTTACACAAAAAGAAAAAAAACAAAAAAAACAAAAAAGAGGCTATTAAATCCAGCTGCGGTTGGTGCTACAGCTGATGTCTAAGTACTGCCTGGACCCTTCTTTGTTTCCCCACCATCTCTGGGTCAAGATTTCCAGGCGCAGACGAAATCAAAAAGGAAAAAAACACCTGCATTTATATACGCAAAAACAGCACATAACACATATCCACAAACCTGATCGAAACATGCTGCGCATAAACACATTATTCACGCCTGGTATAGCTCAGAGTACGAGAGAAAACAAACACATCAAAAACGTCCCTGGAGGCGTCTTCCAAATTTAGCACCTCAATTGCTTGCATGTTTCTACTTCAAAGAGGAGCTGCACTTATGGCTACATTTCACACATGGATCACTAGGATCTATTATTCCATGATTTACAGCCGTGCGCGTTATTAAATGTGCTCTATTTAACAGAAGTGGCCCATTGAAATGAGGGAGTCTTTGATCAGCATCATTATTTTTCTTGTGTCATATATATATATATATTTTGCCCCCACCCCCTCGGGCTCACATCCCCACCACAACAATGTATTTTTAACATGAAAACCACAAGTCAAAACACTGCCAGCCATGCCACATCAAGAAAAAAATCAAAAATAAAAAGATTTGAGTGTGTGAAATGAAATAAACATGAACGAGGAGTGCAAAACACTGCAGCTCTTGGAAATGAAGATCGGATTTCTTTAGTTACATCGGCAGTGCAGATTTTCCTAGTGTCAGCATAGCAACAGCCACGTCCCATTCCCTAACAGAACAGTCTATGACACACGGACTTGTAACCAATAAGAACTGTAATGAGACCATCTAACAAAAAAAAAAAGAAAAAAAATTAAGTAGGCTCTATCTTGCGCACATTGCAATAATTTATTCCAACAATAGCCACAGAATTGACTGACATAGGCAGTCAGATATGTGGTGACCAGACAGGATTAGCGGGAGATATTGGTGTGTGTGTGTGTGTGTGTAGGATGGGATGGTTGGGGAGGGGGTGGGATTAAGAAGAGAAGAAACAATGAAATGAGACCAGATTACCCAGCAAAACAACACACATGATGTTCTGCAACTCAGCTTTTGCCATTTTAAGTGTCGGCTGATGGGCTAAAGTTGCAATAGATTCACATGAAACAACAAGTAACCAGGCCGTGCAGGAACACCGCCTCCATTCATGTTTGTTTATGCCTGTGACATGAACCACAAGGAGGCAGGTTTTGGATTGTCGTCTAATTGCCACCAATTCCCCCTCCAACTCTGCTCCCTCCCTGCAGACTGATAAGTGGGGTGATCTCTAAAGCAGATATCCTTCTGACACACAATTTTCAATCACAGGAAAGGCTGGCAACAGCAACATCACCAAAGACAACCAACTTCCCTTAAATCTCAGTAAGTACTCCCTGTATCTGCTCATGTTTTTGTGCAATGATATCCAAGAACTCCTGACAAGAAAATATGTCACCGGTGGCAGCTAAGCCTTCATCAGCATGTTTCAGGAGAAGCAGCCAATGAAATCTGTATTATGTAGCGTGTGCCTTTTTACAGCAAGAAGGATGCACATTTGTCCCCTTTGTGCAATAACAAGGACAGCACGGGTGACCCGCTAGTGATTTCTTAGCACTACAGAGCTCATTCAGCTGGAAAACATTATGAGAAGCAGACCCTTATGTTCAGTGACACAGCCCTGAGCTAGTAGGAAGATACCCATCATTGCAGTGAAGACAGCACACACACGAACACACACTGCACACAATATGGCAAACTTCACAATCAGATAGCTGACAGCAGTAATACATGGAACACTGTGATGATCTAAACTCTGCACTGACATAAACACACCACGTTCACGTTGCTCTGATGCAATAACGGTTCCCGGTATTCACAATTTCTCTTCAAGGGGATATAGATAAGTAAACTTTTCAATGGAGATCAATTACAATGTCAATCAGTTTTAAAATCTCCATATATACAGAGCATGCATTGGAGATATTGAGACCACACAGCACAAACAGATAATCGGGCAGTGATATTTCACAAGTTGCTCAGGTTGAAGCCGAACTGCTATGCTTTGGAGCAACGCAGTGATTTAACAGTTATACAACCTGCTGTGGACGTAATACATCCCAAAGATGTTTGAATAGTTGAACTTTGGGATAAAACTTGGAGGGGGGAAAAAGCCTTTTTAATATCTGTCATCAGAGCAAAATTGACTCATTCATCTGCAGTCAGCATTTTTTTAATCTAAATGCAGGCACAGGCTTAATGTAAGGGGGTGTGGTTCAGAGTAAAGAGTGTAGGGGGGAAAATATTTGAATTAACAATTTCCGTGCAAGTCCCATCGTCTAACGTTTTCACCAAAAATTATGTCTTTTCATTAACGCACACTGAAAGAAAAACCTTCCCCTTTTGTTTTGGTTTACCATGACATGTATTCTGATATCAACGATAGGTTTACAATCAAACCGTTAGAGATTCAGCTCCTGCATCTTCACACAACCAATAGCAACCTCGAGCTACATAAACAGAACCTCCTATTGCTGGATCTATCTGATAATAAAAATGCAAGCATGCACGCACACATAAACAACTAGTCTACCACAAAAAAAGAAGCAAAAAATATAAACAAAGGCAAAAAAATAAAATAAAAAATCAAAGCCCAAGCACAGAAGATAAACTGAATCAGTGCTTTTGTCTTCAGGTATCTCCATTACTTCACTGCCCTGTGATGCTGCACACTGCTCTGTCTCACACAAGCATTCCTCTGGCGGCCTCCTTACGCCTGCCTGCAGGGCTTTTAGTGTGCTAACCTGCTCGGAGTCTGAGTCGTAGTCCTCATCATCGGCGCTCAGCGACATGGCCATGGCTGGTTTTCAGATACCGTCCAGCTTACAGCAAACTGACATGGCTGCAGTCTCCTCCTCCTCCTCCTCCTTCTACTCCTGCTACTGCTGTCAGGCCTATAGCCCTCCCTCCTGCTCCAAAAGCTCCACAATACCACAAGCAGATGTAGGAAACACATACAAGCCTGCCTCATTAATATGGATCGACTCACTGAGGAAGAGGAGGGGGTGCTGGGCAGCGCAGAGCCAATGGGAGGCTGCTGTGAATCAGAATATGCACTCGGGGGGAGTCTGCCTCCATCCAATGTGGAGAGAAAATGCAGTAAAGGTATTATCATATTTATGATGAGTAGCAGAGGGAGAGGAGAGCAGGCTCTGCACAGCCAGAGCCAGATGGCATCTCATTACAAAAGGCAAACACAAAGAGGCCCCACGACCAGCAGCTGGCCTTTGGAGAGCCCGGTGGGGGAGATCCTGAGGGTTTGTAAGACCCATACAAACTTCACTTTCATGCATTCCTGTAAAGCACATCTCATTCTTAAACTTTCAGCTGAGGCTCCGATGTCTTGTGTGTTTGTTTGGATACATTTTTAATCACACATATTCAGCGACTAAAATAGAGCAGCACCGTAGCATATTTAAACACTTTTAATTAAAATTGCAACCATCACACTGATTAAAGCCATTTATTCACATTTTGATTTGTTTTGGGATATCTTATGTTACACCGTGAGTGAGATAAGAATTGTACTGATATTAAGGAGCATGTTTTTGTTGTTGTTGTTATATTTGGATAATAAATGAAAAGCCTCAATTATGACCTCACAGTCTGCTGCTCAGCTCAGGGCTAGAGAAACTCAGGTAACATGACATCAAATGCACTTCCGACATCAACAACCATTTTCGTCTTACGATATCACAGTTTCAAATGAACCGTATTGCGGTGTTTCGAACAAATGCGAAACACCGCATTTGTGGAACTCGACACCACTCAAAACACACGACAGCAAAAAGGCTAGCGAGGGCAATATTTCTGGATCTCTGTAAATATTTAGTCCCCCCAACGTAAAACGCAAAGGCTGTGACATGTTGAGACATGCCATATAATTTCTGCTCTTAGTAAATAATGTTTTTATGGACACTAAAGGCTTGTTTTGGATTCGGAAGGCACACCAAAAAGCATTAATGACAACAAAACACGTGTCAAATTATGCAGAGGAGCAAAAATATCTCATCATTTACTTCATTAGGCAATACTGCAGCCCGTTATGACAAAATTATGCAAACCGTTAAATCTCCTGCTAAAGGGAATGAGTGCAGTGAGTGGTGGGATGAATGAGGGAAGACAGGACCTTAGCCATTAATAATTGTCCTATACCAGATATGTACCAATATAACATAGGTAAAGAAATGTATAAAATATGCACACCTGTATTGATAGGTAAATATCTATTTAAAATATACTCAGTGATGTTGTTTGCACCACAAAGTCAAGCAAAAGGTGCATAAGCTTTGTACTACACAGGTATGTAGCACATAAAATGATTCTCAAGTGCCTGAAAATTAAGTAAAAACACTATATTTGCTGGAAAACAGATGTATTGCAGGTGACACTATCTTACCTTTATGGTTTTCTTAGGCCAGTACACCACAGGATATCCAGTGATGGCTAATTTAGGGTCATCATCAGTATGTTCCTTTAAGACAACCTAGACGGGCACAGAGAACAAAATCAAAATAGGGCCGAACTATGATTCCTGTCTGTTAAGTAATCTGATGGCATGCAGCAAACATGTTTGGTTTTTTGGTTTTTTTACCTTTAAGTCATCCAACAGCGCTTGGGGGTTCTCTATTCCCATTGGAATACATTTTCTATTTTCCGGGAGTGACTCGAGCTTTTCAATCAGCGTCCTTAGCCCATTCAGTTCAAACTCTGTTAAATGAATCCATTTATTCTGAGGCTCTGAGTTCGGAGAGTCTGAAGGAGTTTTAGGGAAATCTAAAGAGGCCGAGCTGGGGTTACAGCTGTCCTCAGAGTCGATGGATAAAACAGCTTTGAGATGTTGGCCCTTCCCATTGTCGGGTGTGCAGGGTCCATCCTGAGGAACTCTCTCTAGTTTTTCACCCTGCTCATCTCTGACATGAGTCCCACACGAGTCCTCGTTCATGTCTTGACTCCTGGAGTCAGAGGAGGGGCTTTCTGTCTTTGACTTTGTCTCAAAATCTGCAGGGATAAAAGCAGATTTCCTATAATGGATGTTTTGATAACAGGCATACCAATGAGCAAATAATTTCTCTAGTTTGGGGAGCACCTGTTAGTAATCCTGAAATTATGGGTCAATTTGTAGGTTAGCACATATAACAAAGCAACAACAACACATCCAAACCCCTGAAACATTCAAGTTTGATCTAAAGTGACTTCCTGTGACATACCAGCTGGGTTAGGCTCCAGTCAGTGCCCCCTCCCCTCCCCGGCAACCACATGTTGCTAAGGAAAAATATGTATTACCCAACCAGCTGGCGAGCAGTTGCTGGTGGTTGTTGGTCACAACGAGGTATAGAGTGCAATTACTTTGGTGCAGTAATTGAGGTTTTTCACTCACCCATAGACTCTTTACGGATCTCCTGAGAAAAGTAGGACCGTTTGGTAAGGAAATGCAGGTATCTCTCCAGGACATACCAGCATATCTCATAATAGAAGGGGAAACGAAACTTGGAATGAACCTGAAGGGATGACAAAAAAAAAAATTAAAAATGACATTAATTAAAGAACCATTAAAAAGTAAATGAAAATCTCAAATGGATGCTTTCAATGATTGGTCATTTAAGTAAGGTTAAAACAAAGTTGGCCTTCCATTACCACAAAAGCTTTAATGCATATAAAAAACAGCTTAAAGCGTAAGTCAAACTATAAAGGACTATAAGGAACGAGGCAGCTGCTATCTGTAGCAGTATCCTGTGCTCTGACAGTCAGAGGCTATGCAGAATTCTCAGTAATGCAACTGTAATCCCAGCAGACCAGCTCACATTTAACAGGAAGTGGAAAAAGATAGCCAAAAAGACGTTAATGCACAACGCAAATATAGAAAGAACCCAAGAAAGGGTTACTTTATCCAAAAATTAGTTTTGCAAATGCCCACACCTCTTATTCTCCTGTCTCTCTCAAGGGTAAACTTTTCACCTTCCCCTGGTTCTCAGAGAGATTAATTTCTCCCACGTGGAGTTTACTATATTGCAGTCCAGATCAGAGTTAAGCCACAAAGTGGAGAAAATAGACTCCTACCTTTGTCCTGTTCTCTATCTCATAGATGGTAAGCTGCATAGGAATGTTAAAGCTGTGCAGAATGTTGCCTCCAAACACCAGTGTGTCCACGGGAGTGTAGACAGCGTGGATCCACCCTTAATTACAGAGAGTTAAATGTGTTATAAAATGGTCAAATATTCAAAGCCGAGCATTAACGAAGCCTAATCTATTCCTGCTGGCTACTTTAAGACAACCATGCCAACACACCAGATGGGATGAAGAAGGTGTATCCTTGTAGAAGCTCCACTCTCTGGCATCCATCAGCTCGGTCTCCCAGGAAGACATCACTCTGCTTGCCTGACAGGACCCAGTCCTCATACAGGGCAAGGTTATAGGGAGTTGGAGGCACAAGCCAGAACACCTGAGGAGAAGCAGTCATTTCTACTTAGAGTCTGTAACTATTAACAACATTCAAAGCTTTGAGGAATATTAGCAGACGTCTTTGTAGGTGTGATCAGTATATCCTATAGAGGCAAGCAAGCTTTACAAAGAAAGAATAAACTTACTTTCTGTCCCTTGAATACGTGATACCAAACTGAAGTTCCCCCAAAATCGATGTGGAAATCTGTGTAGCAGCCCTTCACGCTCATCAAACAATACCTACAAAGGAAATTAGAAAATCATCTAAGAGGCAAGAAGTAAATAGGTAAACAGAAAAAAGTGGTAAACACAACATGACTAATTACAAGGCAGCAATAATCTCAGGATGCTACCGACACAGGTAACTCTCAGGAGCGACACAGCGTAGAAAACACTTCATAATAAGGCAATTCTCCTCTAGAAATTAATTTAGGAATGATTAGCACCCCAAGACACAAATGATTTGCCAATTTAGCTAAAGAGTATAATCTCTAAGAGAATCCCCACTGACTTGGAGACATTTAAAGGAAAGCCCTTCCAAGGACATCTTGCACACGATGATACTGTGAATGCCACTGAGAGAGAATCTAACACCTTCACAAATAAAAAGAAGCTTGAATTTTGCCAGTTGAACCATCCGTCAAAAAGGTAAGCCAAAATTAAAAAAAAAATAATAATCCTGACATCATTATTGACTATTTCACAGCTTTTTAATTTAAAGACTTGTGTGTTATCACCGCATGAAAGAAGACTGAGTTCATAGTGAATCATAAATGAGAGCATATCCAGGGTAGCTTTCACTGCAACAATAATAAAAAATTTAACGCTCCACAGCTATATCACGAGTTTCACCTCACTAGTTCTCGGCTGGACCCCGTTATGCCTTCAGAGCTGGCTTAATTCTTCATGGAATACATTCAACAAGGTGCTGGAAACATACCTCAGATGTTGGTTCATATTGATGTGAGGCCATTTGAGTACAGTGACATCAATGTCATGTTTAAAAGAAAATCAGTTTGAGCTATGTGATCTGGCACATTATCCTGCAGGAAGGAACCACTGATACAAGGCAGGATGGATGGATGGATGGATGGATGGAGGGATGGATGGATGGATGGACGGGTGGATGGATACTTTCATGTTGGTCTGACCCCATCTTAAAAATGTCAGTGTGGTCTTCTGCTGCTGTAGTCCAAGATATGCATTCAGAGATGCTCTTCTGCATATCTTGGCTGTAACAAGAAGTTGTTTGAGCTTCTGTTGCCTTCATATCAACTCAAAGCAACCTGGAAGGGTTGGCTGTGCCGTAAATCAACATTTTCATATGACCAGCGAGTCTGGGACCAACAACCATGCCACGTTCAAAGTCACTTATGTCACCTTTCTTCCCCATTCCCCACTCAGTTTGAACATCAGCAGGCTGATTAGATATTTGTGTTAATGAGCAGTTGAACAGGTGTACCTAACATAAAAATCTGGTATATATATATATATATATATATATGGAGGTGAGAAACAACATGGGATGTGTCTTCATGCAACAGTATACTAGATTAACAATTTTAAAGTGAAGCCTCTAGGCAAAGGGGAAACCAGTGAGTGTGCTGAAGGGAAAAATACAAGAGTACAGATGACTGAAATGTTTCAGTTTTGAAAATGGCTTTATTTTGAGTAATAGATTCTAAACTAGCTTCTGCACAGTGTGCTGAAATTGCAGCAGTAAAATCGTCTTGTTTGATATTCTACTCCGTTACACCCTAAACCACTGCCAGCATCTCCCTAACCTCTATGAACAATACAGGAGATTAGCAGGGTTTAAGTGTAACAGTAGAAAATATGGACAGCTGACATTAAAAAGACAGGCAGCCCTGGTTTTGATTCATTTTGATTCTTCAACGGCTGATTGGCTGAGAGGTGTGTGTGTGCAGTCAGACCACAGTTGTTAGAAACCTTTCTCTTATGCGAGGAGGGGGAAAAAAATCCTGCTGCCTAGCAACAACAAGGAGCACGTACAGGAGCTGACAGTATGCAGTACTCTACCGTGATGGAGCGATGGATGAGAGATGGGAGGAGAAACAGACATTTTCTACAAGTGTTTTCTTTTTATTAGTATTTATTTTCTTGCTCTACACACAGTTTTTTTTCACCCCTCATAGACTGACACACAGCTCCAAAGAGAACTTCATAAAAACAAAAGCACAACAGTGCAATGCATACCTTTGCACTTTGGGGTATTTCATCTCTGAGATGATATTGGTGGCTTCAGTTTGGCTTTGTTTCAAACCAGGAGGCCACATGTTGTCCACCCAGTCCACTTGATCCACCTGTAAGACCAAACCAAACCAAACAAAGCAGCACCTTTCAGCAACCAATCACAGTGTTCTATCATCTTCTATTTTTGTCATTCTTCTTTGAATCTTTCACCAGATTTGTGACCTCTATCAAACCTCTTATAGTATGATACACAGCGAGGGTCGGGGGCAGATTACCACTGTGGGACGCTTGATGAGGTTCTCCAGCTTGGTGTGGCTGAACTCCAAGCTAATGACATTGAACAGTTTGTCCCGCTCTTCCTCTGGCGTCTCATAATAGCGGACAAACTGAGCCATGCTCATTTCAGAACCTTTCTGAGTGCTCACATCCATAACGTCCACAGACCGGCGACTGCCTGCGAAAAACAACCAGGATACAATGACTTTAGCCAATGAGATCGTACGCATCAACATCAACACACAATCCAGTGCAGTCTGTCTGTGAGTCGGTGTATGCTTTGTCATATTTATACACAGAGAAGTTGTACTGTTGCAAAATATTCTACTATGAACAAGAGCAGTACTTCTTATTTGTAATTCCCAAATTTAACCACTAGATGGGGCAACTACACCCCAATCATACCCTGGCTCAATTTCTTCCAGGGCACACTTAACACAATTATATTGCACTACATTAGAAAAGAGTCACAAACAGAAAACAGCATGATGAGACCTTTAACATAACCCCACAACATGAGCAAGAGGCCCTGGGTGAACCTATTGTGATGATCATACACACATAACACAATAGTACAAGAGGTAGGCACAGACAGAGATACAGGCATACAGCAGAGTGACTAACAGATGCATGCTCACTAAATAACTTATTTCCTAAGAAAAATACAAAAAACAACAGTGATGTATTAACATGCATAATTAAAATCTGACTTTTTTTGATGTTCTCTTCTATTTTTTATGTCCATTTCTAGCATTTGGCATTGGCAACATCCACTAGATTTGGATGGTTGGTAGGCAGATAAGTAAATAAATCATTTCTACTATATCTTTCAAGTTAGCAATTTCTATAATATCAGATAAAATGTTTATGACAAAACTAAAATAGCTACTCATTATCCTGAAACTTCCCACATGCCTAGTCATAGTTAGTGCAAACTGAACATGTTTCATCATAAATTAAAAGGAAATTTGACCATGAAACACAACTCCATTACATTTTTTTTAAGTCAGCATGGAGCCTCAACATATCACAGACTGTTTTGGGGTTTGTTTGATTTTTTTACTTTTTAGGACAATGCAAAAGCTCTTATTCTCTGAACAAGATGCAGATATACTTTGGTCGTGTTTGCACCCAGGCTAAGAGTAATAAGTATATGCACGGGTAAAAATATGCATGTGTGTGCATCGGTGTCTACTTACCAACTAGTCCTTTAATTTCACTGACTGTGAATTCTGGATCTGGCATTCTGCATATTTATAGGAAAGGGATGCATGTTGTTTAGTTCCCAAATACTTAAAACCATAAATATATATATATATAAATAAACTAGAAAGTAGGTTGAATCTACAGCATGTGCACTGGCATTGCACATTTAAAGGAAAGGCTTCTCACCTGATCCCTAATTGATCTTTCTCTTTAAAAATGAGAGGGATCCTTAGACCCTCCCTTTGCACATACTCATAAGTGAAGTCTGCAAGACAGTAGTTTTACATTTAGGTCCAAAGAAATTATTTGAAAACTACTGCAGTCACATGTAACCTATAAGAAAGCTGATATGCACCGTGCTGCTTTACCTTTACCCTCCATCACCCGGACAAAGTCTGCGCTGTAGCTGTCACTGAGGACCTTTTCCTCCACGCTGAACCCTCTGATGTTTACAATTTCCTCCACGTCAGACAGGTCCTCGTTTTCGTCGTACATCGTCCGGGAGATGGAGCGCTGCCATTGAAAACGAGATGTTTTACAATACAAAAACAGAGCCACGCGGAAAGAGAGAACTCTTTCTACCCCAAAGGCCACTTTCTGCCTCTCTCTGCCCCCCTTGAACGGTCATTGTGACTCGTGTGAGGGAACCGATCGTTAATTTTATGTGTGACTTTCAAACTGGAGCAGTGGGTTGTGCTAAAGTTTTGATAGTACTATAACAGCAGTCATTTCTTTGAATGTGTGAATCAGTGCAAAAACAACTAAGCCAGCTGTTTGTGATATTTTATGGATGCGATTGTAAAATGTTTGCTCGACTCCGCTGCTCCAGATATTGATTTATCTCGTTTTAATTACGCTACACTCGCTCAACTACTGCGATCAGAAAAGAAGTTATAGACTCTAAAATGCGACAGTTAGCCGTTTTTCCTCGTTTTGCTTAAACTTGGACATCTTAAGTGACTTGACAAATATCCCAACGCTCACAGTGGCGAGGGTTAGCTTAGCTAACTAATTAGCTCGCTGCCAGTCTCGCCTCATAAGCTAACGTTTAACACGGCAGATGGTACACACCAGCCTGCGTCCGGATTCAGCACACGTCTCTGCGGCCTGAGCCATCGTCTTTTACGATTGTTTTCCGGCCACTCAGTTTCGCGAATGCATCTCCGTGCGTGGCGAAGTTGAGAGAAAACACTTAGCACGCTTTACGGGTTCAAAACAAGGGAACCATGTTTTTGTGTATTACGTCACCGCCAGGAACCAAAACATTGTTGGACAACGTCACGGCATGTCAGTACGCTTTTTAACCGCGCTCACCAACAATAAACATTCCCCACGTCACACGGTTTTATTGTAGTAGTGGGTGGAAAATGATACTAATACTGGTTAAACCCCCTGTTATCGAATAGCGCTGATATCTATTTTAAACATCAAGCAATAAAAAGGAGGTATATTTACTCACTTTTATTAAACTATAAAGAACGGTACATTTAACTTAAAAAGTTTATTTTTTATTTCCTTGTTTATAAGTTTTACACGTGCAATTCTAATAAGCTTGTTTCCACCGCTGAAAAATAAGATAAAATGTAAAAAAAAAATTGTTATTATCTTAAAATGTTAACTAAATAGCTTGAAATTTCAAGCTATTCAATCAGTTTTTTTTTCTTTTTCAGTACAGAAAGTACAGAGCTAATTCAAAATTTGGGGTTATTGTTGCAAATTTTTTAATTTCATAACTCGAAATTGTTAAGTCATATTTTTTTTTTCTCTTTGAGTTACTCAATTTTTTGAGATAACTCCAAATATCGACTCACCTCTCCCCGGTATCATTTTATTTTTGTTGTTATTTTCTACTTCTTTTTTTTCACTGGGAGAAACAAGGTTCCGTAAAACGTAGCTCAGTCGAAATTATAGGTTAACTCAGAATCTTGACTTACTAACTTAAAGCGCTGAGAAAATTTTGAGATAATAACTCCAAATTTGAACTTACCTCTGCCTGGCATCATTTTTATTTATTTATTTTAAAAAAATCAATGGCGGAAACAAGCCTCCGTTAAGCGTAGCTAAGCTGAATTTTCCGGTTATTTTCTCAAAATTTCAACTTAACATCTCGAATTTCCAAATACTTCGTCATTTTCGAGTTATTTACTCATACGGCTGAGTAAGTACCCGCAAAATGTGACTTTAGCCATTTTTTAAAAAAAAAAAATGTATGTATTTATTTATATTGGCAGAAACAAGCTTCCATATATAACTCGGTAGTTACACTATTATCGCTGACTAATTAATGAGTAGCACCATTTTTTTAAAGCAAATGCTCAGCAGCGGATGTTTCCATGGGAGCGCGCAGACTTATGGGTAATGCAAGGTGCAGGCGGTACAGCGGCACGCTGAAGAACGACAAGAAATTGCTTCCGCAGTTCAGTTAGCAGGCGAGGTTAAATGCTGTGTAAGTGTACGCTGTCGGAATCTCCTTTTTTTAAGTAACAGAGTGTTTATGCTAAGTGTCGCAGTATGAGTCTGAACGAGCATTCCCTGCAAGCGCTGTCCTGGAGAAAGCTGTACCTGAGTCGAGCTAAACTGAAGGCTTCCAGTCGGACCTCGGCTCTGCTGTCTGGATTTGCTATGGTAATACGGTCTCCTGGCAAGCACTGGCACACTTCCGAATCTGTTAGAAGACATTACTGACCTGTGTTGTAACGTTGTGTTTCCTGTTTCCTTCCGTCTTCTCAGGTGGCTATGGTAGAAGTTCAGCTGGACAACAGCTACCCCTACCCACCTGCCCTCCTTATTGCCTTCAGTGCCTGCACCACTGTGCTCGTAGCCGTTCACCTGTTCGCTCTGATGGTCAGCACCTGCATTTTACCCAACATAGAGGCCGTGAGCAACGTCCACAATCTCAACTCGGTGAAGGAGTCCCCACATGAGCGAATGCACCGGCACATTGAGCTGGCGTGGGCATTTTCCACAGTCATTGGTACTTTGCTCTTCCTGGCAGAGGTGGTTCTACTCTGCTGGGTTAAGTTTTTGCCCATCAAGCCCAACAAATCCAGCAACAGCACAGTTTCCTCCGGAGTGGCTGCTGCCATTACCTCCACCTCCATTATGGTGCCCTTTGGTTTGGTTTTCATAGTCTTCGCTGTGCATTTCTATCGCTCCTTGGTGAGCCACAAGACTGACAGACAGTTTGAGGAGCTGGAGGAGCTCTCCAACCTCACCAGGCTACAGAATGAGCTTGATAACAGAGGAGAATCTTCCATCTTGCAGTCGCCAAGCTCACATTTCCCATAGTCGGGTCCAGCTGATGCACATCTGTGGTGGAACTCGTGATCCCTTTGGGAATTCTCCAAGTCAGAAGCCTCGTTATCGGCTTCTATGGTTTTTACAGGAATGAAGATTAATCTCACTCTTTATTGTGAAACTTATTTTGTGAAGAACAGTTGTATTTTTTAGAAAACACACTTGATTGACTGTGAACTCGTATATCCGCCGTGCTGCATGTAGCTTGAAATCGGAAAGTCTTAACAGTGGTAGCTGCCTCACTGATCTCCAACGGTATGGGAGAGATGTCTGAACAGTAACCTGGAATCCTGTCTGTTGCTGCCTGCTGTATTTATTTAACTGTCTGTCAGTGAATACTTCATTTGTTTATGTATATTACCTTGTGAACCACGTGTATTTAACCCTTTATTTACATGGTCTTATTATTGTTTTGTTTTGTTGTTTTTTTTGCATTCAGAATGCTCTCCATTTGTGTCGACTAATCAGCTGCACAACTTACAGTACAACTTCAGTATGTTTTGCTGTCTCGTTTTGCACAGGCTGTGGTGTTCAAATAAACACCTTTTCACAAAGTAATGTTAAAAGTTAACGATCATAGCAAAAATCAAAAAACGTGACTGCGTGTGGAGAGTCTGGTTTGGGCTTCGTGAGGATGCTGACTTGCCAATAGATAGATGTTCTATATTACACAGACTTTGCACTATGGAGCTGGCAGGATAAAGAGCCTCTAATGTCAGAGCAAGCCAGACATTTGTGTTATCACACACTAGATTATCTCGAAACGTATGCAGTATATGTATGAAAAAGAGCTTAGTCCTATCTGTTTGCCTTAGACTGCTGACATTTTTATACACACTAACACAGCTTTATAATCTCATTGGGATCTCTGCTGGAAACTTAATGTTAATATTAATGGTTAGTGCTGTATTTTGAAGAGTCTGAGCACTCCACTAGTCTCACATATTCTGAACTGGCATTTTGCCTTTGTGATTCAGTCTTGAAGTACATACTGAGAACTTTCCAATTGTGTTTTTAACATAAAAAGTGATTATTTTGAATTAAGAGTCTATGTGAGGCTGTAGTCCAGATGTGGTCAGAGATGTGTTTACTTAAGCAGCTGGGACATTGATAGATGGCCATAATCCAGTTGCTAGTGAATTCTAAAAAATTAAAATATAATGAAAAAGCTTTTTGTTTTTTTGTATTTCTAAAGGGGAAAACATATTACACTTAGAGTGACATTTTAAGCATTTTTTTTTTGTTTTAATTTTGATGAGTATGGCTTGTAGCTCATGAAAATCTGAAATCCAGTCTCCTGAGTTGGCTGACCACTTGCACACAGTAACGGCAGAGTCGGCACACCTTGTAGTAGTATGTTTGGCTCTGTGGGAAGGGGCTGAGTCCTGCTGGAAAAGAAAATTGGCATCTTCTTAAATTGGCATCTTCTTCAGCAGATGGAAGCATGCAGAGCACTGGAAAACCCTGGCAGACATCTGTGTTGATTTTGGAGTTGATGTAAAACACAGGGGACAGACCAAAACAGCGGCAGCAAATCACCACAGACTGCAGAAACTTCACACTGGACTTCAGACACTATGGAGTCTGCGCTTCTCAGTTCTTCCTCCAAACCTCTAAGACTGTAATTTGCAAACAAAATGCAACATTTGCTTTCGTCTTAAAAGAGAACTTTGGACCGCTGAGCAAATTCAGTTCTTCATCTTTAGCCCAAGTAAGACATTTGTGATGTCTCTGCTTCAGGAGTGCCTGAATATCACTTCCTGAGTCAGCTGCTTTTGACAATCCTCTCAATGCTGTGATTATCTCTTTTGCACCCTTTCTTGCCACACTAGCAGTCAACTTTTTAAATCCTGTGATGCAGCACTCTCGAGAACAGCCAGCCTTTTCAGCAATGACTTCCTGTGTTCATGCGCAGTGATGATCATCATCATCTAGTCAACTGTCAAATCAGCAGTCTTCCACATGATTGTGGTTGGTGGTATTGAACTAAACCGTGAGATACACTGTATTTATACTGTTTGAATAGTAATTTACTCAAACTCTAAATTAAATATTCTAATAATTTTAGATACAGGATTCTTGATTTTCATCTATATTCCATAATCACCAAAATTAAGAAAAAAAGAAATGTGAAATATATCACTGTGTGTGCAATGAATATAGAATAATATGCAATTTTATCTTTTTGTATTTCTTTGAGAAGCAGTAGTATTTTTCAAGGTTTAGATGTGGTAAACATAGCAAAATATCATCCTCTTACAGACTGGTTGTTAGGACTAGTGTTTTATTCTTAGGACAACTATACAAACTATAAACAGAACAAAGCGGCTTGTGTGTCAGTTACAAGTTCACAAGGATTTACACACTCAAGGCTAATGTGTGATCAGACACCATATGACAAACAGATGGATGTGTAATACTGAATTTATCATATGACAATCTCTTTCAATTGTGTGCTCATATTTTTATGAAGTCATCCAATATAATGTTTTCAATCTTAAGAGGTATATATATAAAATCTGATGAGGCATTTTTCCTTTATGGTCTATTATCTAAACACTTTTAATTGGCATTGGCAACAGATAAATTTGTCACATTAATGGATGATTAAAGGATTTTGCCCCTCTGACAAGGACAAATAATCTGTGTGACAAAATGGATACATGCTGAGAACCCGTTACTCTTTTTTTTTTTATTCTTTATCAGCAAGCATGCGGTGAAGTGGAAACTTGCTCTTGATCCTCGTGTTGTTTATCAGAACAGGCCAAGGTAAGCTGATTCGGCGTCCCTTAAAACCAGCTGTGTATCGATCAGGTGTACCTGAAAATAGAAGATAAGTGCATGCTTTCATGCACAGTAGTACAAATGGAACAGGGCTTTGTTGTCAGTGCTTATATCAGGGGTGTCAAACTCAAATACACAGTGGGCCAAAATTCAAAACTGGGCTAACATTAATGTTTATTGGAAAAAAAATCTTCCTCCAGATATAAGAATGAATCTTTTCTTATGGACTCAAACAAGTTTTGCTGAAAAACTGAATATGGAACAAGAAAAGCTTAATACTAAACAATATATATATTAGCTGTATAATACCAGTAGGCCAGCTCTAATAGTAACTTGGTATGGCTTTGTGGGCCAAATGTAATTAGGCTGTGGGCCAAATTTGGCCCGCGGGCCAGAGTTTGACACCTATGGCTTATATGATTATGTCATGTAAGCAGTGTAATGTAATTAGTCGTGTAATTTAATTTTGATCCATGGCTGTAACAGTCAGAAGCAACGCTGTACCTTTGGAATTGGATATTTTGCAGGCATTGGTGCTCCATCTCTCCCAAAATCAGACAGGGTCCCACATTTTGGCACTCCATCCACCCAAAGGCCTTCATAAAGCTGGCCTTTGACACAGTAGTAGAACTTTCCACAACCATCCTTCTTCCCCTCTCGCCAGCTACCTTCATACCTGTTTCCATTTGCTTAAACAAAAATGTGAAAGTCGCATTATAACATCCAAATTATAATCTAGTTTTGATTCACATGCATGTATAGAAAAGTTTCTCTTACAAAATATAAAGATTCCTTCTCCATGATTCTTATCCTTCAGCCACTTGCCCTCATAGATGTCTCCATTTGCATAGTACATCTTTCCCCAGCCACTCCGTTGGTCCTCGCTCCACTCCCCCTCGTACACTGATGAGTTTTTGTAAAAGTATGTACCATACCCCTGAGAAGCCGGACAAGTACATCACTGACCATACATACCGATATGTCTTGTAGCGTGCATGTGAAACATTATGGCAGATACATACATGCTTCTTTCCATTTGTCCATTCACCACAGTACTTCTTCACATACTTCTTTGATTCTGGGAGTAAAATGCTGTAGGTACCATACCCGTCACGTTTTCCGAATTTCCACTCTCCATTATAAATGGCACCAGACTTCTTCCAAACCTGATGTCCCTTGCCTTATAAAAATAAATAAACAAACAAGCAAACATGACAGCTGCACTATACTTCGAACCTCTCAGGAGTTGAGTGGAAGCTGACGACAAACTATATCTCACCATGCTTCTTATTGTTCTGCCACTCCCCGGTGTATTCGTTTCCACTGGCTGAGAAAACTGTGTGCCGCAATCCACATTTCTGTGATTTAATGTCCAGCAGTGTTGACAATGGGGGACTAGTTGGAGGTCTTTTGAGAAATGGCATTGCTAGTTGTAGCTTGATGAAACCTGTAAGCATTAGAATGAAATTAAAAAAACAAATACATGTTTGCTGTCTTTCTGCCATTAAAAATTAAAACAAATATTTTTATTTGTATTTTTTGCCATCCATAAGTCAAAATTTAAAGTTATTGTCTCAAAATCTGACTTAATAACTCAAACTTTTAAATTATTTTGTCATGTTTGAGTTAGTAAATTGATATTTTATTTTTTGAGATACCTAACATACATTTTTGACTTGATAGATGTCAAAAAAAAAGTTTTGTTGGTGGCACAAACAAGCTTCCACACCCATTAAGCAGTACATATCACCAAATTTATACAACAAAAGAAAAAAAACACTGCTCTTCTTTGAGGTTTTAATTAGGAATTGACAGTATTTTAAACACACTCACGACACTTTTCCATGATGTCTAATTGTATATCAAAACTGTATTTTCTAATTCAGAATATGAAAAGTAGCCACAAGGTAATC